AAATGAATAAGCCTCAGGCTGAAGGAAAAGTAAACTTACATCCGTGCAGTAGAATACAGAAGAAGTCATTTCAACACACTTCAGCAATAAACAAAGACACACAAGGATAGGATAGGATAAACTGTATTAATCCCCGCAGGGAAATAATAACCATACAACACAAAATAAATACAATAGATAATAATAAATACAGGTCAAACAGGTAATTTCCCTTCAGATTTTAGGATAAAATAAGGTATACAGGTAAAGATATAAAATAAATGTAACTATCTATAGCTCACTAGAAGTTCAAAGGTGCCTCTGCATCCGAGAGATGTGTTATACAGTCTAACTGCAGTAGTTACAAAAGACCTTATACCGTTCACTATTGCACCGAGGCAAGATCAGTCTCCAACTAAAATTACTCCTTAATGCAACAAGCATGTCATTTAGAGGGTGAGTGGTGTTATCCATAATGACTAGCAATTTGTGCATCATTCTCTTCTCAGCAACCACCTCCAGAGGGACCAGATCCAGTCCAATGACAGAACTCGCTTTTTTGATGAGTTTATTCAGCCGTTTAGCATCACCCCCTTTCATACCAGTGCCCCAACACACCACAGCGTAAAACAGAGACCTGGCAACCACAGACTGATAAAACATATTAAGCATTGTACTACACTCTTAAAAATAAAGGTGCTTCAAAAGGTTCTTCATTTTTATTCATTTTGAGGAATACTGAATCTGTGTGTTTTTGTGTGTGAGTGAGATGAATTAATGCATATTCATATTTATTTTAGAGCTACTGTAACATCTTTTAATTTCTCTCAACATGGGGACAGGAGAGCTGTCAATCAATAAATTGGGGGAAAAAATGGATATTTGAAAAAGTAACTCAGATATTCTCTTGTAAATTAAAAAGTAATGCGTTACTTTACTAGTTACTTGAAAAAAGGTAATCTGATTACGTAACTCTCGTTACTTGTAATGAGTTACCCCCAACACTGATAATCACTGCCACTTGTGAAATTAAAAATAACTAAATAATCAATAGAGGAATAAATAAAGGACTAACAATTAAATATAATGTAAGTAAATGTAATGTAATAAAAGTATTGTTTTATTAAATTTAGTCCTAAATATATTTTTGTATTACTTTTTTCATTTATTTTCTGTATTTAACTTTTTTATTCTTGCGTGTATGTATGAATGTATGTAGGCTATGTATTTATTTCTTCAGTTATTTGTATATTTATTCCCACATGTATTTGTTTTCACATTTATTTATACGGTTATTTGTTTTAACATTCTTTTTATTTATTGATTGGTTTATATGCATTTACTTAATTTCTGCAGGTCTGAGTCTCTATGATAGGTTTATTATATAAATAATCTCTTTATTTGAGATTAAAGTGAATAGAGGATGAAAAGAAGGTTATAACAGGTCGGTTGGACTAATTCTTCACACAAGCTTCATGCATCTGACCAATTACATGAGCACATGACAGAGGTTTAAATAATTAAAAACGTTAAAAATAAACCTATCCTTATATTTACTGGAATAAAACGTGTCAATGCAAAAACTAGGCAAGACATAAAAGCATGTATATTTTTAGCTTTAAATGTAATTAAAGTTATATAATGGATAACTTCGATATTTGATTATTTAACTCCAAATATGTTGTTTAAGTCTGATTAAGTATGGCTTTGTTTAAGGTATTTTTCACAGTATCTGGTGCATGTTTGGGTGGGTGTTTTTTTTGTATTTTCTTTTGTTTGGTTAGTTCATATACTTTTGTATAGTTTGTGGGATTTTGTTTTGTTTTGTGTTTTCAGAAAAACTGTTATAAAAAAAATGAATTAAAGTTAAAATGTTCAGAATCAACTGCTAAATCAGCTCAGGCTATTTTCTAGATTTTTTTGTATATTAAACATTATTAAGTTTTAATCATCTCTTTAAATAAGTCCTCACAAAGCATCAAACCTGTTGTGCTTTTTTTTGTTGTTTGCAAGTCTGAGGAATGAAATAAGAGACTTCAATTCTACAGAAAAAGTGGAAGACATAAAGAAGACATAAACCATTTTTTTGCTAGTCAATACAGAATTTTGCATTCAAAATAGAAAACATTTTTTTACATCATATTCTTTGGGTTTTCAAAATAATAATCTAGAACAACATCTTTGAGAACAAAACTAGTTTATTTTCCAGATCTAAATAAGGAAGCAGTTACAATACAAAAATATATAATAATATTAATAATAAAAAAATTATAATAATGGAAAAAGTTAAATTGCTAGACAGGGGTATTCAGTAGCATTCAAAAAAAAACTTATAAATGTCAGCTGTTTTTAAAGCCTACTTATTACTACATGAGTTAGAAATAGCCCCAAACGAAGCTGTATTGCGTCAAGTTTATTTTCTAGAACGCTGGCCCTTTAAGGCCTCGCATGACCTCACCTACTTCACTTGCAGGGTTGCCAGGGAAACAGTGAAACAACAGTTTAAATGGTGTAGGGAGTCCAAACATGTTACCAACGCTAGCCAAGTTCGCCGATGTATAAAGGAATAAACATATATAAACATCTCAGTGTATGTCAAGATCAACGAATGTGAGAGGACATAAAGAAGCAGTTAAAATGTCAACAGCCTCGATAACAGCAGGAGTCGTTCAGTACGGGCGGAGGAAAGGCTCGAGTCAACAAGGTGAGAATGACTGCGCTTACTGACTAATGCACCAGGATAGCTAAAAGATCATCTGTAAAATCATAATAATTAGTTTATCCACCTTTTTCTTAAATGCGGAAGTAAGCCTATGGGTGAGACTTCCGGTTCATTAACCGCTATAGGTAAATAATGAGGAGAATAACAACGTGCAGTAAACAGTAAAAATGTTTGCACTACAAACCAGTGTGTTCATAATTAAGATAATACATTAAAATAATATGATAAGACATACCAATTTTCGATATCAAGCAGCAAAATTAACTGTTAACTGTTGACTCGGATGAGACCGGAAGCTAGACCCATAGAATTTACAAATGGCTGCGCCCATTTTTACGACAAGAAAAAGGTGGATAATCACTTGGAAATATACAGTTGTGAGTTCGGAGGTGGAGAAAACCGAAGCGGATCTTCGTCAAATGGTAGTTTTGTCCAAACCGGAATGGCAGCGCCTGCAGGACAGTGTGAACGGAATCAATCAACACAACAGGAGTGTGATTGCAGCGGGCCAACAGCGCGAGGCGCTGCACATGCGCTCTAAAGAGCTCGTCAAACACTGGTCCAACACCATTGCTGTGAGTACGCACTGGAGCTTATGTATTTCCAGCTCTCGCATTAGTCATAATGAGCAATATTTGCTTGAAAAACCCACAATTCACGCTAAACATAATATGCGGGAAATTGTCATTTTTTAATGACCTAAACACTTTTAAAGAAAAAAAATACATATATTATTAGCCAGAGGCGGACTTAACCATTAGGCAAAGGTAGGCGACCGCCTTGGGCCCCCAAAAGCCAAGGGCCCCCAAAAGCCAAGGGCCCCCCAAAAGCCAAGGGCCCCCAAAAGCCAAGGGCCCCTAAAGCCAAGGGCCCCCTAAAATGCTTTTTATATGCGAGATGCGCGTTCAGTGCGGACGCACAAGTGGTTGCTGTGGTGTTCATTACCACGACAACCGTCTGTGCGTCCGCGTTGAACATGCTTCTTAGCAAAAGTAGCTAGGGCGATGTAGAAAATGGGGACGGAATCCCGGAATCTATTTCATAAAAAAGAATTTACTGTGTAACGCGGAATGTGACGGAATGAACGGCGCAGCATTTCGTTTGCTAGTTTGCTATTTAAGCACACACAACACTCACGGTTGTCTGTAGTAGCTAAATAGTATTTTTGCCATTTAATATTCACATACACTAGTCCATATCGCGGTTTGATTGAAGTGTACTGAATTGCATTTGATTTATTCATTCAATATTTGACGAATTCCGTGACATTGCTCGTTACACAGTAAACTTCTGTTGTGTAGCATTTTGAATGTACAAAAATTAAAGGGTTTGTTTCATTTTCATTGGAATAAAAGATAGATTCATTTTTTCGCCTTCATTTGATTACCAGAAAAATGAAAATACACAACACAGAATTTCTAAAAAATAAGTAAATAAAATTAAAATTTCATAGGGCCCTATTATTGTATACAAATTAATAAATTAAGTTGTTTTTATGAATTCAGTTAATTAGATATGTTTTTGATTAAACCATTAAAATGGAATACAGAAAAATTTAAATAAAAAAAAAAGAAAGCGCAGAATTTGGGCCCCTAAGAATGTAATTTTTGTTAAACATTTAATAGGCCTAAATTGCTGTTAAATTAAACAAGTTTCGTGATTTTAATTAATTAGACATGTTTTTTTTGTTAAAAATGTAGTCATATAATTATCCAGAAAAAAAATAACTGAATCCAGAAAAATTCAAACGGGAAAAAAGATTTTGGAAAAAATTAAACTTAGGCTAATTTGGGAAAAATAAAACGGATTTCATAGGGCCCTACAGATATCATGCATCTGAAGCTATAATTTTAATTCTAAGCAACAGTGCATATTCTATAGGGCCTATTTTAATTTTTTTAAATGGCGCTCACTCGTTTTTGTGAAAGACCCAAGAAGGACCATGCACAGTTACTTTCCACACAGGCACACTTCATGTTTGGTTGAAATAATCCTTAAGCATGTACATTTATAATTTCCTTCAGTTTAATTTAAATGTGCAATTAAAATAAATGTATACTGTATATTCAAGTTTAGAATTAGACAGCCTTGCGTTGTGTAGACAATTGCATAGTGAAAATTACCCCAACGCACCACCTAGTGTCCAACCTACTCGAATATTATTATAACCTGTTTAAATGTGAACAAGGCATTTACAACATTAAAGAAATCCTCTATTTATAACATGTACATGACAAATCTAAAAGATTAGACACAACTATGGGACACGTTGTGCAGCAGCGAGCAACAGTGAAAAGAACCTCAAGGTTGTAAATGTGTGAAATTGTATAGGGCCCCATTCCTGTATTTTGCCTGGGGCCCCCAAATCACTAAATCCGCCCCCCATTGAGTCAATTAAGAATAAAGAAGAATAATGAATTTAAAAATCATTATAATTAAGAAAAAAGTTGATGTTCTTAGATTTAGTTGATAAATAGGATTCATTATAATATTTTGTATATAATGTATTCTAATATTTGTATATAATATTTTATCAGAAATATCCCTGTGATCATTTTGTACACATTGATATGACTGTTTTTGTGTCTAGAACAATGTTATTGTTGATAGTTTTACTATTGTTGAGAGTAAAAATAGTTTTTAAAACTAAAACCTTAACATTTTTTTGCTTACTTTAAATAAAATAATTGTTTACTGAAATAAAATAAATATAAAATAATTATTGTTTCAGCTAGTTGGTAAGGCAGTATGTCTCATTTTAATTTAGTTCAACTTGATGTACTAAATTAATTCAAATTAAAACTGAAATAAATTAATAAAAGCTACATGTATAAAAACAAAACCTACTAAAAATTATAAAAACACAACAAAATGACTAAAACATAATCTAAAATAAAATAAAACATATATATATATATATATATATATATATATATATGCAGATATTTGTATAATGTTTTATGTTTTTCTGTACTTCTCTCCATCCATATTTCATTTTGTCTATGCTTCTGTTATAATGTTGAATAAGTTGATTGTAATTTGAATGCTGTCTTGATGTAATATTTTTGGGTTTTCTTAAAAAAATGTAAAAGTAAAATAATAATAATTAATATAAATGCTTGGGCTAATATAAGCTATGCATTTAACTTATGCAAAATGTCTTCCATGGAGAAAAACAGATTTTTTTTTTCCCCTTACAGGGACAGCGACAAAAAAAGCTAGAGGCAAAAAAAATTCGAGAGGCGATAGAAGAAGAGGAGCGGAAACAAATTGACATAGAAGAAGCAAAATACCAGGCCCAGATACGGAAGGAGGCCATTGAGAAAGCAAAAGCCCAGCAGTACTACCAGACCGACAGAGTGAAAGGCTTCCATGTCTGTGTCTCTCATTATTTGGTCACACTTTTACTATGTCAAATGTTAGTAGAAACTATTCTTTTGTTTTTTATAGAGTGCTCTGCTGCTGGCGGAGGTTCTGAAGGAAAGAGAGGCTCAGATCGAACTAAAACGCATGAAGCAAAATACCAGCAAGGACATAGACAGAGATATCTTGGCCGAAATGGCTTGCAGAGAAGAACAGGCCCTCCAGCAGGAGCAGCAGAAAGCCATACAGAGGAAACAAGACCAGCTGGCCACCGCTGAGAGCGTGAAACAACAGTAAGGAGATATCAAAGTCCATGCAATGATGTAGGTAATGCGAAAGGACCTTATAAAAAGGACCTGATGTTTCCTGCTATATTAGGATGAAGGATCATGACATGAAGAAAGAGCAGGAGAGGCAGGAGGTCCAACGTGAGGCTGAAGAAATTGAGCGACTCCGAGATCTTCATGTGTGGGAAGAGTCCATGACTGAGCGCAAGAAACAGGAAGAGAAGAGAAGCGCGATGAAGGGTCATCAGGTGAGGCGGTTGTTGAACAACATTTACAGATCGAGTGAATCAGATGCTGTTTTGATTGAAATCCTTGAAATTCTTCTGTCTTCCATCAGGACTATATGACCAACAGAGAGCTGATGAAAGCAACAGAGGCTCAGAGGCAGGAGGAAGAGGAGGAGAAACGGAAGCAGTTCGCCAAGCATAAAGAAAAAGTCATGAAAATGAGGAAAGAGAAGCAAGAGGAAATGTTTAGGTACTGTAAATTACATGCTAACACAGTGTAGATGTGTCTTTGTGGGTATAAATGCCAGGATTCCCACTTTTTTTTACATTTATATACGTATAAAACACAGCATGCTGACTATTTATGTTAAACACTTCCAACCCATACCAAACTTGATATATTATATTAAAGGCTAGATAACAGAAAAAATAAATTAGCATTTTAAATATTTGGGGCATTTTTGTTATTTTAAAACTGGGATTTTTTTTAAACATCATGAGCTTTCCGGGTTATTTAAGAATTACTTATATACTGTTATTTTTATTATTTGAAATCTATTTGCTATTTTCTTTTTCATTTTAGTAAAAGTTTTAGTCTTTTTTTTTTTTTTGTAGTTTTTGGTATGTCTATATAGTTTTTATTAATTTTATTTTAGTTTTAGTTATTTTAGTACTTCAAGTTCAACTAAATGAGAAGGTTGAAAAAAAAAAAGTTTTTTACATTTTATTTGATTTCAGTCAACATTTATTTTATTTCAAGTAACACATTTTTTAATGGATTAAATGTTTCCTTTTAAATATAATAACTCTGTTTAGCTTTCATTTTTTTCCAGTAGTTTTAATATCGTTAGTACTTCTACTGCAACTTATTTTATTTCACTTAGTTATTTAAGTTGTTTAAGTTTACATTTTCTTGTGTTCAGCTATCTTCAATTGGCCTGTTAAGAGTCTTTATGGGAACATTTATAAATATATATATATATATAGTATCTTATACTAATAAATTCAAAAGACTGTAACCTGACATACATATGGATGATGTACACATTTTTACAACATACTTGGTTAAGAAAAAGTCATGAAAATTCATTGTGTGGGTGAAGTGTGGGAACCCTGGCGAGAAAGAATAATTCTCTTCACTGCTTGCTTTGACTCAGCACTGGGCTTGTATTTGCATTTCTTTTTGCTTTAGAGAGCTCCAGAGACAGAGAGAGACTATTATACAGAAGTTAGCAGTACAGAAGCAGCAACAAATCAGCAACGAAGAAGAGCTCATGGTGAAAGCAGTCGCTGAGCGTGAGGCCAAACAGGCTCGAGAACAGCGTGAGAAAGAAGAAAAACATGCAGCCATGTTGAACTCCATCGCTGCACACAGAGAGTCCATGGTAAATAACCTCTTCTTAATGTATTTGTGCATACAGATGGTTTAACTCTTCAAAGCTTTGTCTAGTAATGAATGCATGATTATTTAAATGATTATTTGATTAAACTTAAGGCAACTAGTGACAAGAGGCCATGTATTACAGTTGTTTTGCCACAGTAATATTGCATTTACATCCATCAGACTGTTTATGTATATAATTTGAAATACATACAATGAAATAAACGTTTTTTAACCCTATATTAGAGGAAAGAGCAGGAACGAAAGGCAGAAGAGGAAAAACAAAAAGCCCTGGAGATGCTGAATGCAAAGATGGAAGCAGCTAAAATCTTCATGAAAAAAAAAGAACTTCAAGCTCAAAAAGCTAGAGAAGAAGGCAAAACACTACAAGACATCTATATACAAGAAATGGTGGGTATAGCTCTTAAAGGAACACTCACTGGTCTTGACAAAAATGAAAATTTGCTGAAAATTAACTCACCTGGGACATCTACATGAGTTTGTTTCTTCATCAGAACAGATTTGGAGAAATGTAGCATTACATCACTTGCTCACCAATGGCAGTGAATGGGTGCCGTCAGAATGAGAGTCCAAACAGCTGATAAAAACATCACAATAATCCACAGGTAATCCACACCACTCCAGTCCATTAGTTAACATCTGGTGAAGTGAAAAGCTGCATGTTTGTAAGAAACAAATCCATCATTAAGGCGTTTTAGCTTCAAATCATTGCTTCCGGCTAAAAACAAGTCCTCTAATATTGAAAAAGCCATCTTGTCTGAATCAGGAGAGAAATATGCACAGATCAAGCACCATTTACAAGCAAAAACAGTCCAAAACCGTTCTAAACAAATATTTTGTGGATTTTGATGTGAGAGGACAACAGGGGATGGACTTTTTCCACTGGAGGAAGCGTTATCATGAATTATAGACATTAAAGTTAAAAAAACACCTTATTGATGGTTTTGTTTCTTACAAACACGCAGCTTTTTGCTTCACAAGATGTTAACTGATGGACTAGAGTGATGTGGATTACTTGTGGATTATTGTGATGTTTTTATCAGCTGTTTGGACTCTCATTCTGACGGCACCCATTCACTGCAGAGGATCCACTGGTGAGCAAGTAATATAAAGCTAAATATCTCCAATTCTGTTTCAAATTAAAAACAAACTTCTCTACATCTGGGATGGCCTGAGGGTGAGTAACTTTTCTGCAAATTTCTATCTTTGGGTGAACTTTTCCTTTAATGTTTTGATGTGAGAGGACAACAGGGGATGGACTTTTTCCACTGGAGGAAGCGTTATCATGAATTATAGACATTAAAGTTAAAAAAACACCTTATTGATGGTTTTGTTTCTTACAAACACGCAGCTTTTTGCTTCACAAGATGTTAACTGATGGACTAGAGTGATGTGGATTACTTGTGGATTATTGTGAAGTTTTTATCAGCTGTTTGGACTCTCATTCTGACGGCACCCATTCACTGCAGAGGATCCAATGGTGAGCAAGTAATATAAAGCTAAATATCTCCAATTCTGTTTCAAATTAAAAACAAACTTCTCTACATCTGGGATGGCCTGAGGGTGAGTAACTTTTCTGCAAATTTCTATCTTTGGGTGAACTTTTCCTTTAATGTGTTTTATGCTATGCATTTAACTATGATTTCTTTCAAATGCAACATGGGTTTTTGTGAAGGCTGAGAAACGTGCAAGGCATCACCGTACAAAAAAAGAAGAGAAGGACTTTGCTGAGAGGAACACTGCTCTCATCGTTGGGGAGGAAAACCAGTTTCAGAAATACGCCAAACAGGTCTTCGAAACAGCTGGGAAGGCAGGGAGAAACACCTTCCCGCTCATGAAGGCTGCCAGAGAGGGCATCGGAGGGGGTCTAGGGCCCGTGTTTGGTGGACTTAGACCAAGTTATCTAGTCCATGATGAGTCGGGTGTTGAGATGCCCAGTTATGTGAGCGGCACCACTCAAAACATAAAAGAGCAGAACGAGACCCCTGACATTCAACAGTCCAAGAAAAGACTAGGATTCACCTTGTAAAACTTCACAACATCTAGTCGTTATAATGTCTCTCTCGTACTATTGCAATGATAAAGATTTTATGCAAAAGAAATTGTAATCGCTGTGTTTTGATTCAAATATAGCTTTTTAACCATCAAATTTCTTGTTACACAATTTAGTTTATGTTTTTTATTTAGAAATATTCTGATGTATAAAAAAGTATTATTCCTTGAAACTTAATAGTAATAGTCAAAACAAGCAAAATTAAAAGTCAAATTAAAGTATGATTTGCTTTGGGATGCCTGTATAAAAATATTTAAAGGGTTCATATAATGCTATTTCAAGTTTTCCTTTCTCTTTGGAGTGATGCAAGCTGTTCGTGAATAGAGAAGATCCCTGAAGTTGTTAAGACTAAAGTCTCAAACCCAAAGAGATCTTCTTTATAAAAGTTAAGACTCGTCCACGCTCTCCTAAAATGCCTTGTTTAAACACGCCCCCACATATCTACGTCACGATGTAGGAAGATTTGCATAACGCCGCCCAAATGTGCACGCAAAGAAAGAAGGCCGCCGCCATGTCGTGAAGACGCTGTGTGTTTCGTTGTGAAAGCGAAACTACTTTGTTTGGTCTTCCAAAAGAGGACACAACTAGAAATCAGTGGTTAAGTTGTATTTACAACACTGTTCCAGAACAGTTCAACCCAAATATTCAGATGTGTGCAGCACATTTTATGGAGGACTGTTCAAAGAGTGAAAAATTTAAGGGGGTCTGAATACTTTCCGTACCCACTGTATATATATATGTATAATATTGTAATCATGTACACAACTAGTCAAAGGTTTTTGAACTATTACTGCTTTTGAAATACAGCAAAAGTAGTTATATTGTGAAATATTTTACTATTTAAAATAACTGATTTCTATTTGATTATATTTTAAAATGTAATTTATTCTTGTGATCAAAGTTAAATTTTCTGCATAATTACTCCAGTCTTCAGTGTCACGTGATCCTTCAGTAATCATTCTAATATGATGATTTGATGTTCAAGAAAGATTTATTATTAATAATATTATTATTATCAATATTAAACTTTTTTTTGCAGGATTCTTTATGAATATGAAATAAAAAAAGCTTTTGTATACACTATGCCATTCAAAAGCTTGGAGTCAGTATAATGTTTTATATTATAAAAAATAATATAAAATTTTATGTTAAGTATCATTTTATATATTATAGAAATTAATACTTTTATTTAGCAAGGATGCTTTAAATTGATCAAAAGTGATGATACAGACATTTTAATGTTACAAAAGATTTCTATTTCAGATAAATGCTGTTCATCTAAACTTTCTATTCATCAAAGAAACCAGAAAAAATCTAGTCAGCTGTTTTCAACATAATAATAATAATAAATGTTTTTTGAGCAGCACATCAGCATATTAGAAGGATTTCTGAAGGATCACGTGACTGGAATAATGATGCTAAAAATTCAGCTTTGAAATCACAGGAATAAATTACATTTTAAAATGCATTCAAATAGAAAACAGTAAAAATATTTTTAAATGTTTTACTGTTTTTTCCTGTACTTTGGATTAAATAAATGCAGGCTTGGTGAGCAGAAGAGACTTCTTTAACATTAAACTAATTAAACATTAAAACTCTTTCTGTTCAAAAAACTTGACTGGTAGTGTAGTTTTTGTGATATGACAAAAAAAAAGCATGATATTTACACAAACATTTTTAATACATTATTAGAATTATTGTAATAAAAATGTAGACTAGTTGTTATGAATGTAATTGTTAAATATTTTCAATTTTTTTTTATTTTTATTAAATGCACAGTTTACATGTATTTCAGAATGTCTTAATATTTGACATTACTATCTCATGCTTTGTCAGCATTCAAGCTGACATAGACAAAACCTGATGATCTGATTCTTGGGTGTGTCTGATCTGTCTAGTATGTGGAGTGTATCCTGACGCCGGCCGTCCTCTGCCATGTTCTGGCTCCGATCGTTTCGAGCATGTTCCCACAGACTGTTTCATAGCGGGGCCCTCAGCCGTGATCAGGTGCTAGAGCAGCTCCAGACGTGCTCTGCTGAAGACCAGGTGTTCGATGTGGTGGGCCGGAACAAAGCCAAGCTGTCCACGAGCCATGTGAGCTTTGCTATTGGATGGCTGTGGATGTTTCTAAGAGAGCGGCCACTCATGTTCAGGACAATCAAGCAGGTCCGGAATCACCCGCAGTTCCTGACGCTTCGAGTTCTGGCTGAAAACAAGATCAGCCTCATGGATGACGCTTCAGTGGTGGATATGCTATATTCTGTGCACCGGTACAGAGCAAAAATAAGAACAGCTCTGTTCCAAAAGCTACCTAGATATTATTTTAAGGTATTATAGGTTGGCATCAAGCTGCGTTTTGAGATACCTTGCCTGAGACAAATTCTAACACGGAATCGCATGAATTCTTTGGGGAAAAAGCATTGCAGTAATGCATTGCATTGGAGTGAAAAAGTTCTTCTAACATGTCAGATGAACGAGATTCTTATGAAAATATTTGCCTTTTTTTTTGCTCAATATTATTGTGCATATTTAGAGTGTTGTGCTCTGTTAAATTTATTTGAATCAAAAAGTTTTCTAGGCGTTTGGTCATGTTTCGTTTAAGTCAGAATGCTCCCTTAGTAGGCAGCTCACTAGGTTCTGGAACAGAGCTATTGTCTAAACTGCACTGTATATATGGTGTCCTAATTAAATGTTTGTGGGTAAATCGCTAGTCTTTGATCTCTTTGATGTCTTGTTTTGCAGGCTTCAAGTAGAACACCATGACACTCTTGTGCAGCAGCTGGTGACAGAGGCTTGGAACAGACTAGAGAGGTACATGAAAAAGCTGCACATAAATGCATAATTGTATATGTGTATATACATACTGTACACATATACAATTATGCATTTGTGTGTGTGTGTGTGTATATATATATATATATATATATATATATCATTGCAAAATGACTGAAGGAGAAGCATCTAAGGATGTACGATATCACAATAACTAACATTAGCAAAGACTAATAAATTCTGTAAAAAAATAAATATATCGCTCACCATTAGTTCATTTTTGCAAATCCATTAACTAGCAACTAATGAGACCTTATAAGAAATAACACTATTGAACTATCTTATTTAACATTTATGTTTTTAACGGTTGTCTTTCTTTGATCATCATTCATAGTTACCTGCAGGGCAGTGTGTATCCATACGAGGTGACCATGCTAACCAGGGTTCTGTCTATGCTTCCTTCTCCCCGTCCTGATGAGGCCGTCCTTTCCCGGGTGAACGCCGTGATCCTGCAGTGCAACCTAAACGACCTCAACACTTATGCCACGGTCGTCGTCAAGTGGATTCGCAACGATCCCTCGTACCGGTGTTGTGCCGAATTCTGCACCCCTGCCAGATTATGCACCCCCTCGTTGAAGTCACTACAAGCTGTTTCTGGGATGCCAGGCCGCTCATGCATGACACTAGAGGGCAGCCGGTGTTGTGCCGAATTCTGCACTCCTGCCAGATTATGCACCCCCTCGTTGAAGTTACTAACTGATTGCCTAATCCCAACCCCACCCCTAATCCTAACCCCTCCCCTACACCTACTCCTAAACCTACCAATACTAGGGGGTGCATAATTTGGCAGGGTGCAAATTTCGGCACTACACCGGCACAACACCTCCAGCAAGTACGTCTGCCTGCTCCAGACCCTGAACCGCTGCAGTCGTGAGCGGCTGCACAGCTTCGAGAGTCTGGACGTGGTGCTGGAGGAAGTGAAGTGTTTGTCGGAGGAGTACTTTGATGAGATGCTGCTGGACTTTTTGGGGAAGTCGTGGCCTAATGGTTAGAGCGTCGGACTCATAACCCAAAGGCTGTGGGTTTGAGTCTCGTACCGGCAGGGATTGTAGGGGGGGGGAATGAATGTACAGCACTCTCTCCCACCTTCAATACCACGACTGAGGTGCCCTTGAGCAAGGCACCGAACCCCCAACTGCATAAATGGCTGCCCACTGCTCCGGGTGTGTGTTCACGGTTCGTGTGTGTTTGTTGTGTGTGTGCACTTTGGATGGGTAAATGCAGAGCACTAATTCCGAGTATGGGTCACCATACTTGGCCACATGTCACATGTCACTTCACATAAGAGTCTATGGTCACCATGCAGAAACTGATTGACCAGATATCCTGGACTAACGTGCATGAGCTGGGCGTTTATCTGACCAGGACTAACTACTTCTGTGCCGCGCTGATGGACTGTATCGCTAGTGTTACTACTGAAAATATGGACAAGTTGGGAGTCATCTTAAATGTTGTTTCAATACATTTTGATTATTATAATGTATTTTTGTGTATTACTTTGGATTGTTGTGTTTGCTTGTGTTGTAAAGTGCTTTGAGAAAGTACTCTTTTAAAGGCGCTATACTAAATAAAATGTATTATTATTATTATTATTATAAGGTTAATTTTTAAGGTTATATAAGGTTTCAGTTTTTTTCATTTTAGTTTAAGCTTTTGTAATTTTGCTATGTGCGCTTGTCTTTTTTTAGGTTTGTTTTAAATTATATTTAGCTTTTAATTATTACTTTTAGTATTTTAATTTATTTCAGTTAGTTCAATGCATTTTGTTTTATGTAATGTATGAATATACGTAATATATAATTCATATAATTGCTTGTTTTATTGATTGATTGATTGCCATTTAATGAAATTTACAATAAGATAAGATTAATAAGATTTTTTCAAAGAAGTCTCTCATGCTCACCAAGGCTATATTTATTTAATAAAAAAATACAGTAAAAACTGTAATATTACGAAATATTATTACAATTTAAAATAAATGTTTTCTATTTGAATATATTTTGATCACATGATCCTTCAGAAATCATTCTAATATGCTGATTTGCTGCTCAAGAAACATGATCATTATTGGTATTAATAAAAAAATGCATCAGAAACTCATGTTGTTAAAACAATTTGTATGTTTGTCTCTTCCGAACAGATTCATTATTCTGCAACCTATTCCACCTTGCTGCCTTTCGCTGTGCTAAATTATGACCCACCGAAGGCGGAGGAGTTTTTTGATGTGTGCATTCGACATTTCACGCCGTATATAAGTAAGATTCTTCCATTATGCATTTATAAAAGTTTCTAATCTGAAATACTTGAAGTTAGAATGTAACTTGTTTTTGCTGATTCAAACAGGTTCTTTTGACCCTCACCTGCTGGTTCTCTTGGCTTACGCACTGGCTTTGGCTGATTATTTCCCTGAGGAGGTGGTCCGAGAGATCTTCAATGTGGACTTTCTTGCAAAGTTGGATGCCCATCTGGAGTGTATGTCTATGTGCATTCATATGAAACTTATAGGAATAGTTCATACCAAAATGAAAATTTGGTAAAACTCTATTCACCCTCAGGCCATCGAAAAAGGACATGAGTTTGTTTCTTTTGGAGAAATGTAGCGTTACATCACTTGCTCACCAATGGATCATCTGCAGTGAATGGGTGCCGTCAGAATGAGAGTCCAAACAGCTGATAAAAACATCACAATAATCCACACCACTCCAGTCCATCAATTAACGTCTTGTGAAGCGAAAAGCTGCGTGTTTGTGAGAAACAAATCCCATTATGAAGACATTAAAGCGCCCCTATGATGGGTAGTGAAAGGGTCATATTTTGGTTTTGGGAGTCCCCAACAACAGGTTGACATGCATGCAAGGTCAAAAAACACTTTCATTGTCTTATAATATGCATTTATTTTTACCTTACTTGCTCAACGACTTCCAAACGATTCGCTTAACTATTCATTTTTCCAAACCCCTCCTTTGCGTGACGCGGTGATTGGTCGATTTCATTTCATCATGCCTGTAATGCCTGATAAAAGCAGCGTTTGTGAGCGCAGTGCTGCTTTGTGTACAGCGTTACCGGGAAAACCGCTATTTTTTAACACTCCAAAAGCTGCACCTAGTGGCAAAGAATGAATTTGCATTTTCATTCAGACCAATGCGAAAAGACCAACAAGTGGGCGGGCAATATGCTAATGTTTCATGTTGGCGTCAACATGAAACGGCTTGGGATTCGTTTTCAAAACGACTCGTTTCAATGATTCTGATTCAGAGTCAACTCTTTCTTTTGAAAGACAATAACTTTATACACGGTGCACTTTCAGATTTAAAACTTTGCAGGATATTTTTTATTCACTTAGAGCTCTGTTACACACTGCATGAAAGGTAATTTTCAAAAATCCATATTAGGGGCACTTTAACTTAATACTTCTGCTTCTGACCAAAATAGTCTATAATGCATAATAAGCTTCCTTCAGTGAAAAAGTTGCCTCGTCTGAATCAGGAGAGAAATATGCACAGATCAAGCGTCGTTTACAAGTGACAACAGCCCAAAATGGTTCTAAACAGATATGTTTGTGGATTTTGATGTGAGAGGACAACAGGAGACAGACTTTTTCACTGCAGAAAGCATTATTATGGATTATGGACTCGTGGAAGTAAAATGTCTTAA